ACGACATTTGATTTCAAAATTAGAAATGAAATCAAAGATCAGAAACAAAATCAAAAGCAAAATCCAAACTAAGAATCGAAATCAGACAACATTAGAGCTTCGGTAAAAATGTTAATATCAAAATCAAAAACCACAAACTAGAAATCATGGGCAAAAAATCAAACAAGAATCCTAAGTTCACTATCAACGAACATCGCTATGTCTTTCGCCGTCATCACCATCGTGTATTGTCACGGTTACCTCTCCAATGTTGTGTGTGTTTGGATAGGGAAAAAAATTAATTTTCCCCCTACAAAATTAATTTTTTCAGTAAATTAGCCAAACAGTCAGAAAAGGACGAAAATCAATTTTGACCTCACATGCACGTTTTCCCGTAAGCTACTTCGATCAGCTTCCTGATAAACATTTATCAAAAATATTAGGAAAAATTACAAACACAGGCCCAGGAAAAAATTATAAAAAAAGCACATAATTTAATAAAAATAAAATTAAACTCTCTTCTTTTTCCTTTTTTTCCTTAATAAAATTTAAACTTTGTATATTTAAAAAATTAATATTTAATATTTAAAAATTAAATTATATAGTAATTTATATAGCTAAAAATTAATTTTGATTAAATTATCCTAATAACTTCAATTCTGTTAAAATTAATTTAAAAAAAACGGTATCCAAACAGATTGTGTTATAACATAATCAATAATGATTAAAATCTATCACTTAATTAATTATTTTCATAATTTATTATACCCAACTGAAATTTAAACGAACCTGCCCTCATCGTTGGCTCCCTAAGTTCACACAGTCACCTTCCCAAAAGTCTCCCACATCTTCTCGCTAGATCTGTCACCTTCTTTGATGGATAAAATAGTCCACAAGTTTGGCTTCCATGGAACTCAAGACATTTCCATGGTCCCTAGGATGGAAGCCAATTCCATCATTTTTAGTAGAATTAGATTTCACTTGAAATTAAATTTTAGTGCACCAAACAAGCCAAATGTTAGATTTTCATTTTCATTTCCAACTTCATGATCAGAATTATGTTGTACCAAGCAGGTCATAAGATTTCCTTTAAGATATGCTCGTATTTTTTTATAAAAATATAATCTTTGATTCTTATAATTTTATTTAATTTTGCTTTTAATTTTTATAATTTTTTTATTTTCAGTCCTTATAATTTTAAAAAAATTGGGTGACATTTATTTTTTAAGTCTATATAATTTCAATACTTTTAATCTCTATATTAAAAAAATTATAAGAATTAAAAATAAAACTTAATAAAATTATAAAGATGAAAGATTATTTTTTAAAATTTTTCTGAAGAATTTGGTTGAAAATAGTTACAAAGATTTCATAAAATAAGCAAAATATCTTCTTTCCCTTTTACATTGATACGGAATCTTTGGGCAAGGACCAATCAGGATTGTCGCAAGTGCCCAAATTTTTTTGAAGCTGTCCTGTAAGTTTCTTTCACTAAAGTATGGACGGTTAAATTTAAAGAAAATGATAATTAAATATTTTTAAATTATATAAATAATATTTTAATCCCATAAAATATTATAATTTTTTTAAAATTTTAGGGATTTTTTTATCATTAAGTAATTAATATAAATAATTAAATTATTTTTAATTTAAATATTAATTGTCATTAATAAATTTTATTTTAAAATTAACAAATTTTCTTTTTAAAACTGCAAGAATTTAATAATAATTTGCAAGTTAATATTTGAAATCATGACATTCCTCAAATGTTGTAAGTATTAATTGTCATTCACAAATTTTGTTTTAAGATTCACAAATTATTTTTCAAATTGCAAGAATTTAACATCAATTCACAAGTTTAAATTAAGGGTAATTTGATTATTTATATCAATTTTCAATAACAGAAAAGTCCTCAAGAACTTCAAGAAAATTGTAACATTTTAAGAGATCAAAATGTTATTTATATAATTAAAAGAAATTTTATTATCATTTTCCTTTAAATTTAAGTATAGTACCTTATTTGTGTAGAGAAAGAGAGAGATGAAGTTTATTGGTGTTCTTTTTTTTAATTACCTATTGGTGGTTTTACTTCATGGGTAAATTTGCAATCAGGCAACAACAATTTTATACAGGATTCGTTGGTTCTTTTGAAATTTAGGTGGGAAAATTATGTATGAACCAGACTTATTTATAAATAAATTTTATAAAATTAAAAAATTATAATCAAGTCCATTAAGACTTAAATGCTATTTAAAATTAGGATGTAAAAATAGTAATATTCTTTTAAAAATACATTACATCACTTAAGTAATTTATAACTATTTAATTAGTAATTTATAGTTATCACTTCAATATTTTTACAATTATAACTTTACATATCTAATATTCAAACTAATCATGCGTTACAAGTTTTAATATTAATTATATGCAACTACCTCATCAGTAATTAATTTTATATATTTAATAGTTAAACCAATAATATATTACCCACAAAGTTTAACACTAATTATTTATAACTATTTCATTAATAATGTACAATTATAATTTCAATTTTTTATAACTGTAACTTCATATATCTAATAAGTAAGAAAAGTATTATTTTTATACTCAAATTTTAAATTATACTTAAATTTTAAGGGTCTTGACTATAATTTTTAAATTATACAAAATTTATTTATAAATAAATTTATTCAACGAAACCTACACGTAATTTTCTCGTTTTAGTTGGCCTTTTCCTTTGTTATCTTTGACAACTTGCGCGGTATTCCCGCGTGTTTCGTTTTACGTCGATGTGGGATTTACGTGTGATCTCCCAGGAGGTAACTAACTTTTAAATTTTATACTCGTGGTGTCTATTTTCTTATGATTTCTTAATGCTTTTGGTGCTTTATATATTTTACAAGAATAAGATATTTCAACAGTAAATCTTTTAGTGCCACAAACTTGATTTATATTGATATTATTACACAATACACACACAACGTTGTGTGCGTGTGCGTGTGCGTGTGCGTGATAAAAACATTATATATTTGTCCTGCACTGTGTTAGCCTTTTTACCTTGGCCTCAATCGACAAGAGCCACTTGAGTGATCCAACCTTTAAGATGATCGGAAGCTTTCATTCCTGGAGAAAGAATGTTGATCTTTGATTTCCAATTAAAAATATTCTCTTTTATTAAATATAAAAGTGAAACTGGAAAGTGGATCAGTGAATGTTAGTTTTGTTGTTAGCAAATACACCTTCCGTTTTAAATTATAAAAGACTTTAATAAAAATAAAGTTTTATTAATGATACCTTTTCAATATTATCCTTATTATATATTCTCTTTCTTCAATATTCTTTTATCAATGGAATATTAAATGAAAGATATTTTTAAAAATTTATATTTTTATCTTGAAAAATAATGTTGTAAATTGTATTTAATGAATTTTATTGATATGTATGGTATTGAAATTTGAAACCCGGACCGGACCAGCCGGGTCAACTTGGAAACCGTTGTCCGATTTGGGTTTACTCCAAAATCGGTGAAAAAATGAATCGATGTAACCCGGTATAACTCGAATAATCCAATGGGTTGACTGGGTTAATCTGGTTATTATTTTTCAGACAGAACTCCCAAAATAATGTCATTTTGGGGGTTTTTTTTTTATTTTTGATTTTCCAAAGCGCTAAGTTCGGAAATATGATAACAAAAAAAGTGAAACTGAAGTCAAAAAATGAAAAATTAGAGACAAAGCACGCTAAGTGTAATCCATGTTTTTAGATAGCATTCGGTTCGGCCTTTCGCCTGGGTCTCTCCTCTCTTGCCCTAACTTAATCGGCGTCTCTTCTCCAGCTCAGTCTCTATCTCTTCTCTAGGCTCTAGCTCTATCTCTGTCTCCTCTCCAACTCAGTCTCTGACTCTCTGTCTCTTCTCCAGCTCTATCCTCGTCTTTGCTGTCTCTGTCTCTCTTTCAGCTCAGTCTTCGTCTCTTCTCCGACTCGATCTCTGTCTCTTCTCTAAACTTTTGAGATTGAATGGTTGTAATTGTAAGAATAGATATTTGAAGTGTTGTATTTTATTATTGTTAAACCTTTAAGTGGTTGGATTTGGTTGAATGTTTTTATAATTAATGTCTTTTTATTTAAATTGTATTGTTTTAATCATGATCAATTTGCCACCGGTTGAAATGTCTTTTTATTTAAATTATATTATTTTAATCATGGTCGATTTGCCATCAATTCAAACCCCAGTTCAACCTCGATTGACCTACTAACCCATGACCTAATGCCATGATTGGTATAACGACCGGTCCGATTTTACGTACCTTGTTGATATATGAAATTTTATTTAAAAATGTCTTATAATTTAAGACGGAGAAAGTATCTTTTAGTCATACTTTCAATTCAAACATCAACTTCTATATTAAAATCCTACATTGAAAATTCTCAAAAAAGTGTGGCTTATAAGTTTCATAAACTTTTCTCTTTAATATATTAGTATTTTTGTATGGACTTTCTCTTTTCTATTAGGCATCTTCCATGGAAAGGGCTATCTTATATTTTTCACTACAAGTAGCTGAAATTTCAAAATAATTATTTTTTTTATTTGAAACTTGTACGAATTTCTCTCCGAAAAATATCTCTAATTGCCGACATGCAGACAACATGAAACACCTAATTTCTCTTAATTAGTTGCTTCAGGTGGTCACACTTCAATTTTCTTTCTCCTTTTTCTTTTTCTTCTTTTTCTCTCCACACGTTTAGACATCTTAAATATTGACAAAATTTATTTTTTTACCTTTTACTTTCACTCTCTTTGTCTCATAATCTCAACTGAAACTTCACTTTTAAGATATTCAAATTATTTCCTTCATAAATTAGGCTTTTTAGCTTTCAGTGGTAAAATCTGGAGAACAATTAATCTCGCAGCAAAACTTCAAGCATGAAGAAGAAAGTTAATACTTCTCATAATCTTGCACCGTCAATAAAATTTCACGGATCGTTGATATGAATTGAATTTTAATTATTTAGATGGTACATGTGCACTCAATATCTATAATTACTGAATTTGAATCCAAAATTTTTCGGTATAGACTACAGTATCACATCACATACATATTTAGCCAACAATATCCCAGTTTCTGAATTCAAAATACTATTACCTTAGGGTCTAAAACGAAGATCCAAAACTTCAAAACACTGATGGAAAGGCCAGGGAAAAGAGAAGTAAAAAAAGAACACTTGACTGTTCCCTTCATGTGTTAAAAACAGAACTAGAGAACAGGTACGATGATCTGCCACACCTTAATGTCACAGTCCAAACTGCCACTGTAAACTAGAAAAGATTCTTCAGACGGATTAGAACGACCACTGGCTGCAGTTAAGCACTTAATCGGACCACTATGGCCTTCTAAAACTGCTAAACAAGAGCAATCATCATGAACGCCTCTCCATATTCTTATTGTTTTATCTGCAGAACCACTACACACCAAATCTGAGACCATGGCTAAGCATAATATGGACTTGGTGTGTCCCCTAAGCGCACCCACCAGCACCATTTTGCCATCTTCTTCTTCTCCATCCTTTGCCCAAACCAATATTGATCTGTCGCAAGCACCTGAATACAACAGAGACCCATCACTGCTCAGAGCCAAAGCATTAATCCCAGAGTTGTGCTTCTCTAACGTATCAACCAGACAATGTTTCTCCCCTCCTTCGCCTTTTTTCCATACCTTGATCTTCTTATCTGCTGATCCAGTGTATATGTAACCGTCCTCAGAAACTGCTAAGGCGTTTATAGCATCATCGTGCGCGTTGTTCACTGATTCCAAACATCCGAAGTCACTGGTTCGCCAGACTTTGATTGTACGATCCCATGAAACTGAGTAAAGCAAGGTCTCATCCCTGGACAAGGCCAGAGCAGAGACTGTATCCACATGGTGAACCCAGGTGCATTTTTTGTGCCTCCTTATCTGAACATGGTTCTTGGGATTCAACACCTTCGTGGCTCTGTCACCAAACGTCGGAAGTGTGGCTAAACGGGTGTACTTGTGGCGGTCAGGCTCGTCGCCGCTAATTTTCCAGACTCTGATTTTATAGTCTTGGTGAGCGCTGAAGAGTTTATCAGACTGAACTATTATGGACTTCACTGCACCTTTACCTGCCGTCACCATGTTAGTGATTGATGAATTTGACTGTTCAGGGTCGAATATTTGAGAGTGAAAGCAAGCATGATTCCAGGACCTGATTTCTCCATCAGATGATCCAGTGTAGAGGAATTTCCCTGCAAGGGCTATACAGGATATATAAGATGTGTGACCTTTGAGAGTTGCAAGACACTGGTGATAGGTTGAGGTGTGATGCTGAGACCGAGAGTTCAGGGAAGGAACTGAAGCAAGGCTGCGTTGTGAAGACAGAGACGTTGGTCTAGATTGAATATGGTTGGATGAAGAAGACGATCTGTGGAACTCCATGATTCACATGTTAAGGAGAGAGAACATGGACTGGTTAGCATCGCAAGGCCAAGTGAGCTGTCTATTATATATGTGTGTGCATACATATGTATATGTAGAAGATTGAGATATTGGATGGAGAAGTAGCTAGTGAGATTGCTGCAATTATATCAGAGTTGGGTTTTGTGGGGTCTGCAAGGACAAAGTGAGGAAGCAAGATTGATCCACTTGAGGCCATTTTAAAATGAAACATGACACGGGACTTGGGGTGTCTACTTTCTCTGTTACCCTTTAATACCCAAAATCTCAGCCCTTCATTTGAGTTAATGAATCATTACTAGGAAGTTTCAAAGAGAGCAGTAGATACTCCAAATCTCGCGATACAAAGCTTTGAAGTGACCGGGCTAACCCCGTTTGGTAATTAGAGCATATCGCTCTTAATTGAAGCTGGGGTCAGTCACTGTACTCACCACCCAAACTTGTTTTCTATGTCCTCTTAGTTTAGAACAGAAGAGGCAGGTATTAGGTAGTCTGAATGGACAGGTTCAACCTTCATCATCTCATGCCTAATACAATTTACAAGTTTCAAACCAGCAAATTTGACCCGCACCACCATCTGCACAATAATATCAAGTTAAAAAGCAAAAACGAGTCTCGGTCAACTTGCGAGTATTAGCTAGCATCCACCAAGTTCCTTCCACCTAATATATCTTTGAAATTGTCAGCTAGCCTGCTTGATCCAAAGTTTTTGCCTCAATCGTGTGTTTTAATCGGGTTCAGTTTATACCCGATTAATTAGTTATTTTAAAACAAAATGCAAGTCTTTTAGGAACAAATCTCAATAGGTAACTGATATATTATACTCACATATATCAAAAAGTTTACGTGGCAGAGGGACAAACAACATTAAATACTCGTGTGTAATGGGTCAATGATGATTTCGATAGATTTAGCCACTTGTATCAGATGGTCGTTATTATTTTTAGGAGTATAATTCACTGGGGACAGCACACGAGGGCCACTAAAAATAAGTTTAGATAATAGATAGAGATTGATTGATTAATTTGTGAATGAGCCAACTAGCTACTACAGAGGCCTATTCACGAAGAAAACTGATATAGAAAAAGGAAAGATCCCATAAAGGATAGTGTCATTAATTAATTTGGTTTATATTAAGATGCATGCCCCAAGCTAATTAATAGCAGGCATCTAATTAAGGTTAGGCGTATTATGGAGCAGAATTGGCTAGATGATTTCACTATAGGAATTTTGATAGAGTAGGTTTTAGGATTTATTTGATATGCAATCAAAAAGAAAAAAGAAAAGGTGGAAGTTATAGACATTAGCGTCTGAAGCACTGAAGCCAGAAATGCAGGACAAGTGGTAGCATCATTTGTGCAGCTTATAGGACAGCATTATATTAGTACATTTCAATTCTTACTCATGTCCCATATTTTTTGGGTATGATTAAGTGGCAGACATCCTTTCAAAATTATAAAACTTCAAACTAATATAAAACTTAGTAGAGAGAGAGAGAGAGAGATTTGTTTAGATTCTTTGAGATGAGATATATTATAATGGATATGTGCTCACTCAGATATTACATGTACACCATTGGGTGTTTGGCATGCAATTCATATTGATTTTACGATACAAGTTTTTTTCATAATTAGAGGTAAAATGTTGTGTTGATGGTTTTATGAACATTACGCATTGAAACCAATTTGACCCACGCACTTGGTCTTTCCCTTGATCCTTACTATCCCCATATATATGATATGCATGAGGAGAGTGGTAGCTGGGAAGGAAAAACACAGGACAGAATGTTTAACGAGTGAAGAAAACATGTGGCTTCAACGAAACTGAGGTGATTGTGTACCCATGCTTTGCTTTGTCTGCTTTCTGTGTCTCATTCATATCCCTTCTATATTTATTTGTGTTCTTTCTCATTTCCCGATTGCTCTCAGCCATCCGTTGAGGAATCTTGTCCCAAATATGACTACTTGACTAAGTAAGATTGAAACATTGTCAAATTTAACTATTTAAAGGTACTTGAGATCTCATGCTTAAACGATTATAATTATTTTCACTAGAATCAATGCTACTTCTTAGTTTGCCTCATATCTTTAATTCACTCTATTTTATCATTCCATTTTATATACTTTCAATATTTGATGTGTACACTTTCATCAATGTCATTTCTGCTTCTTATATATTTAGATTTACTGAGTGATCTAAATCTACTTGCTCAATGAATATTTTAATCATAGTTATTAGATTTCATTAATACTTAAAAATTATTGATGTACATTTCTTATAAAAAAATATTCAAAGCAATTCCCATGATCAAAACGCTTCTCATCCTCCCAAAAAATTTAAGATTCAATACTTTTTAAATATTGTATAACAAAATCTCTTCAAATAATTGTTATCATGTCATTTAAGACACTTATTAAATGAATAGATTAAGGTTACTCACTGAATTCAAATTTATTTCAAACTTCACTTCCTTTATTTTTTTTTTAAGGGCCAAAATTTCAAACTCCACTTTCACTCCAATCTAAATCTCCCCTAAAAGTATAAAATTGGTAAAAAGAATAATTAATTATAAAAAAAAGACAATTCAATGTTTTTAATAATTTACAAGTTAGAAGAAAAACTTAGCATGTAGTTGTGAGAGTGACGTGCTTGTAAATGGATGGTGGTGTGGGGTCTAGGAGTAGAATTGGAATCATGGTCGATGTCTCCTGCCCTCTGCTCTTCCCACACTTTTTATACCGTAGTAAAATTGAAACGGTTCAGATTAAGTTTAAATATTTAAAATTTAATATTTTATAAAAAATTTTAATAAATTTAATCACTAATTTAAACAGATATATTTTGAATAATATATATTTAATATGAATGATTCAAATTAAATATTAAAAATTTTTATAAATTAATTATTCAGATATACTTTAAATAGTGTTAATATATACTAACAAACAATTTTAAAAAATAAAAAATAAATATTTTATGTTTAAATTATACATTTGAATATTTAATTTATAAAAATTATAAAAAAATTAAAAATTAAATTTGGATCAATGTAGATTATGCAAATTGGTAATTAAATTTATTAAAAAAATTATATTTTATTTAAAAATATTAAATTTAGGCCGTGTAAATAAATAATTCAGGTGTTATTATTGTGCAGCCGAGCGTGAGAGGAGCAAGGGTATGGAGGAGTGAAGCCGAATCCGTCAACGTCAATGGTGATCGCGTCGACCACTATGCCAGTATGCCATCTCTATCTCTATATTTATGTTTGGGCCCATCTTTCGTACCAATTTTCCTTCCCTGCGCTTGATCTCACACCATGGTATTTTCTTTTTTTTTCCACACCGTGGTATTAGATTATGACATTGAGTCACGCACATTAAAGCTCCAAATGTCACAAGTTTGATGGCACGAGATGATCCACTTTTAATCTAATAATAATCTATCTATCCGCACGACCATTTTGAATTGAACAAGTGACTCAAATCTATTCATTTAATAAATATTTCACACAATATAATAAAAGCTATTTAATTTAATTAAATAACTCCTAGAGATTTTATCATATGTAATACTAAAAAAGTATTAAATTTCAAATTATATGTAAAATTTGTTTTGACCATAAAAATTATTTTAAAATTTTGGAAAAAAATTATTTTAATAATTTTTAAATATTAATAAAATTTAATAATTATAATTTAAATATTATTGAGTGAATAGACTTAAATCACTCATCAAATTCAAAACCCTATCCACACACAATACTCCATTTAAAAACTCAAATAAAATAATAATAAAATTTATTTTCTATTTTTATTTATAAGTAACATTTTATAAGTGTTTTATAGAGGCTTTTGTATATATAATCCATGTTAAAATAATCAAACAAAAATAATAGTTCAAGATTTTTTAAATTTGAATGATGGCCATTTTGATATTTAAATGGTAAGTCTACCTTTAAAAATATAATACTCTTAAAAATGTAATACTTCCACTTTTCAGTGGAAAAAATATAATGCAGAAAAAAAAGTTATTTGCTCGGAGCAGAAGTTGAAGACTGAACGTTGGGCAAGAGACGAACTACAGAGTTCACGATGGCGATCCACAGAGTTCATGGCAGTGATGGTTTCCGGACTTCTTGGATCACATTTGCAAAACCTCTTTTCAATGGCGTCGAAGCGGAAGATTCTTCCAAGTTTGTTTTTCAAGATCGCTGATTTAGGGTTCTATATCAGTTTATTTTTTTTTTTTTTCAACATCTATCTGAGGCTGCTGAGGTTGAAGCATCCATCTCACAAACTGATGAAGAGCATCGGGATATGGAGACTTAGGTCCAGCGGGCCGCATTGGATTTCCCCCTTCTTGTGTCTATCGGTGATAATGGCATGATCCCTCTGTTGCACGCGTTCAAAAACTTTGTAATCTTCAACTTTTGTCTTTGTAATTCTAGACTCAATAGGTAACAAGAACCTTGCGATGACGTGACTTTCAAAAATGACTCAGAGAAAAAACAATATTACAAGTTTGAAGCTCCCGTGTTGCTTCTTCAAGATATTCCTAAAGATTCTAAAACAAATTTGAGTCTATTTGTGATCAATGATCATAAACATGGAAGTTATTTGGAAAGCAAAATATGTGCCCATGTCCTTTAGAATTCTTGATTGTAACGTGTTTTACTCCATAGTTGCTCATTACAATCTACGAGTTTTAAAGGATTCTTGTACTACTAATTTAACATTTGTTGAGAACCATGATCATAATAAGAAAAATTATAAAAGGCTTGTCATTGATAAATATAATAAAACAATCATAATGCAAACAGCCCAGCATTTATTATTTATTATGTTTGTCAATAATATGTCATTGTATATGATTGATAAACCCCTGGTAAAATTTTAAATTTTCAATGATAAATATCTTGTATATCAATAATAAATTTTATATCAATATAAAAATTTATCATTAATATATAAGAAGTTTATCATTAAAAATTTAAAAATTTATAAAAGGTTTATCTTTGATAAATATAATAAAACAACTATAATGCAAACAGTCCAATATTTATTATTTATCATATTTTTTTAATGATACATCGTTATATATGATTGGTAAACCCTTGTAAAATTTAAAATTTTCAATAATAAATGCCTTTTATATTAATGATAAACTTTTTAT